GTGGGATAACTTGTGGTCTGACCAGACAGGATATCGAAGATCCTGACAAGGTCAAACAGTTCATTGATCAGGATTTGGTATTCATGGAAGGTGTCCCAAACACTGTGCAGTATTGGCACAAAAGGAAGAGCGAGCTGTTCGCCATGATTAGGCAGCTTGGGAAGCCGACGGTGTTTCTGGCGCTTTCTGCATCTGAGGTGCATTGGCCAAAATTGCTCGAACTGCTTGCAAAACTGCAGGTTAGGCCCCAGGAGTTGGGCTTTGACGAAGACGAGATGAACCAGAGGTACGTGGCGACGTTGGTGAATAACGATCCAGCTGCGTGTGCAATTTACTTTGAACACATGATTAGGGTGATTATGAAAGTGCTGCGAAACTCCCGGACGAGCCCATTTAGGCCGTACCACGTGGTGGAAAGTTTCAAGTGCATAGAGTTTCAGCATAGGTGTAGCCGCCATGCTCATTTGCTCTTGTGGCTTAATCAAGCTCCGAATGAAGAGGTGCAAAACAAGTTCATGCCAAACACCGTGAGGATAGCAGAGCACCTGTCCGTGGATCACGATGCTCTGGAGCGGCCGAGATGCCAGGAACACCAGCACACACACACGTGCTATAAAGGTGGTCGTAAGAAGTGCAGGTTCCATGCACTGTTCTGGCCCATGCCGAGCACTAAAGTGCTTACTCCGGTACAGGCCCCTGCCGAAGACGACGAAGCCGGTTTGAAACAGTATTGCTTCCTGAAGAACACTCATGATGCGTTGCATAGTGCTCTCGACACCACTGCCTATCAGTCCTTTGCTGAAATGCTTCAACACCATGGCCTACGGGACTTTGACGAGTGTGAGGAGGCGATTCGCAGTGGACAGGCCAGGCCTACGCTGCTGCTTAAAAGGGATATAGATCATACGAATGTCAATTCCTTTAACTCTTGGATAGTCTCAGTGCTGAAGTCTAACATGGACCTCCAAGTAATTCTTGACGTTTATGCCTGTGCATCTTACGTGGTGGAGTACGTGAACAAGGCTAACCGTGGCGTCTCCAACTTGGGCAGAACCATTAAAGCTTTAATCGAACAGAACCCATCGGCCCAGCTGTCGTTTGAATGCGCTATGCGACAGCTAGGGGTTAATATGCTGAATGCAATTGAGATGTCGGCCCAAGAGGCTGCCTGGTTTCTCCTGCAATTTGACATATGTACCACTAGCCGAGATGTAATTTACGTTAACACCCATTGGCCAGAGGAGCGCCATCGGAGCCGCAAGACGAAGGCCAAGTTGGGGGAACAGGGAGTGCTGCCTACGAGTTGTGACATTTGGCACAAAACACCGCTTGAGCGGTATGAACACCGTCCCGCTGAAATGGAGGGGGTGACGTTCGCCGAATTTATGGTCGAGTACAATTGCAGTAGCTTGAGGAAGTGTCAGAAGCCAGCCGTGCTTAGGTGCCGAAACTACAGCATTGACGACGTGCTAAACTATAAGAGGGAACATGTCATGCTGTACGGGCCGTTTCGTAAGGAATTAGACATTCTGGATGGCAATGCCTTCGAGAAAATGTTTGACGATAACAAAGAAGCCATTATGGAAATCAAACAGAGGTACTCTGCTGGTGTAACCACTTCGGAGTTGATTTCGGCTTGCGAGGCGGTTGGTCGTTCGGAAGCAAATCACACAGAGGAAGTGGAACAACCGGAAGAGAGGCCGTCTGCGGTGCCGACTTTGGTGGACATGAACGATAATTCAGACTTGGTCCCCGAGGAAGTGACGAAGATGCAACAGAAGGTTGTTGCAGCCACATGCCCTGGAGTCCACCGTAGAGACGACGTTATGCCGTTAAGCGATTTCTACGTGTGCATGAGGCTGCTTAATGAACAACAGGCATCATTGACATGGGAAGTGATACATCGTGTTACTGACCGGACGACTAAACCGCTGCAGATCTTTACCTGGCCTGCTGGCTGTGGTAAGTCCTTCACGTTGCGCCTCATCATGGACGTTTACAACCATTACTGTCATAACCGTACCATCTCGTATGGGGATGGTCAGGAAAACAGTGCAGTCAATGCGTACGTGGCCTGTGCAACAGCCGGTAAAGCTGACGTTGCGTTGAACGGCGTAACTGTACATTCGATATTCAAGATCGTTATGACCAACAGGAGGGAGGAGTGGGACTTACATCAAGTGATTTGAATACGTTTCAGATGCTGTTTCGCGACGTGAAGTGCATCATTGTGGATGAGGTGAGCATGCTGTCATCGGACCATCTCAGACAAGTGGACTTACGCTTGAGAGAAATCAGGGCTTCAAAGATGACGGTGGCGTTCGGAGGGTTTGACGTAATCTTCTGCGGGGACCTTCGGCAGCTCCCTCCGGTGCGAGCAAGTGAGGTATATAAGAGATCGCGAAGCGGCGGAAGCGTCTACAGTACGTCCGTGCTCCCGTGGCACCACCTCTCATACTTTCCTTTAACCGAAGTGGTGAGACAGAGTGATGCAAACTTCTCGGGTCTTCTCACCAAGATAGGCGACGAGATTTGTGTGCTTACCGATCGTTTCATCACTCGTGAATAGGCTGCTATACAGTGCCCCATGGCAGTCCGTCTCTTCTTTAGTAATGACGACGTCGACGTCCATAATAGGATGGTTGCTGAGTCTTGTGAATACAAGCATGACAGTGTCGCCATACACGTGGTGACTGGCCATCAGAGCAGACAAGAGGAATGTGAGGTCCTCGCGAGAATTTAAGACCTCAGTCGAGCGGAGAGTGGCAACCTGCCATCTGTGGTGTCGTTCTGTATGAAACGGCCGTATATGCTGCTGAAGAACATTGATGTGACGAATGGCTTGGTGAACGGCTTGGTCGGTACGCTAATGGAAGTTGAGCTTAACGTTGACGATACGCCAAAGAGAGTTTGGCTGCAATGTCCCAGTGGTGTGGGAACGTTAACCACAAAGAGTTTGGCTGCAATGTCCCAGTGGTGTGGGAACGTTAACCAAGGCCAAAGTTAGCTGCTGTTCTGGCGTGAGGCGGTGTGCACAATGGGCTCCGATTGAGCCCATCACCATGTCATTTTCCATGAAGAGAAAAGCCTTGAGGCATGTATCGGTGTGCAGAACCCAGTTTCCTCTCGCACCAGCAAGCGCCATGACGATACACAAGTCGCAGGGTGGTACCTTCAACACTGTGGTATACGACTACGTTAAGGCTCACCCTCAAAAGCTGGTCTACGTTGCCCTTAGCCGTGGCACTGCCCTCCAGGGCTTGTATCTGACCAACGTGCAGCAAGACCACACATTCTACCATCATTTTAGCAATCCGGATAACGCTTTGGTATCGGAGTATGAGCGCTTAAACAAGCACGGCCTGGACACAGCATATGCTCGCTGTAGAGCGCTGATGACAAACCCTACCACGGTCTACACAGTCGCCCTGCTCAATGTTCGATCGTTGATTTGCCATATCGCGGACGTTCGTGATGACCGCCTCTTGACCACTGCTGATCTTCTTTTCTTTACAAAGGTTGGTGTCGCCATGTGATCACAAGCTGTCACAATCCCCGAGTTTAGCAATGTTGCTTATGCCAGTCGTGTTGACACTACCAGAAGCTCGGGAGTCTGCATCTATGTCAGGAATGGGATTGCTGCCAGTGAACTGCCAAACATTGAAGCCTGTGCCGTTCAGCTTGACGAAAGTGGTGTGATAATCGAAGCCGTGTATGTGTCACCAAACAATTCGGTTAAAGACACTATACACGTACTGGCTACGTCTATACCTAGTCGTGCGGCAAAAGAACTGTGTGTGGTGGCTGGTGACTTCAATCGTGCTCCAGACTCTCTTTGTGTTCCTTTAGAGGATACGTTTAACCTCGACTTAGCTAGTGTTTCAACTGCACAGACGACCCAATGGGGAAGCACCATTGATCTTGTCCATCACAGAAAGACCGACAATTCCAAATACCGTGTTGGGGCCATAGAGACGGCAGCGTGTTACTTCACTGACCACCGAGCCGTCTTTGTGGCAATAGAGAAGCTACCTGGACGTTGAGCAGAAAATATACATGTGCCGCATAATACGTATGCCGTGTGTGTGTCATTGCAGAAGCAGCAAGCATGATAACCAAGCTAATCCTAGACACTCTGGAAAGCTAAGAATAATCAGCTGAACCTTTGCTAACACTACGTATATCCTGGCATAGCTGAGCTAAGCCACTGCCATTTTTTTTAAGGGTATAAGTGCCTGGTAGTGTTGCTCGAGTTCCGTCATTCGCTAATTTAGATCCGTTAACATTTTATCGGTGCTTAAAACTTGATTCTTTAGGCCTTGCGCCTCCGAGATTAGTTTGCTTTGCCCAGCTGTCAGCGTTTGTAACTCAACGAAAACACCGATCATATTAGGCCTCGGGTTGGTTTCCACATCTCCTGACAGCAATAGCAAAGACTGCATTACATGCACACATTCACCAAATAGATAGAGCAAGGCAGCACTGAGGGCTCGGGAGCTGCACTAAACAGCAATTGCTGGATTTTTTACTAAAAAGACTGTGTTTTACACTAACCTGAATGGCAAAAAGCAGCATGTTAGTTCTCAGTGTTGTGGCCCAGCCACCGAGCCCACAGAGCGGCCGCAGCGGTCTCTGCTCTTTTATAGTTGACGGGTTCGATAGTGTCCCTTTTGATGCGGTATCACACTATGGCTGGAGTATCCAGTTGTTGTGTGTCGATCTAGATTCCTCTGACGTTCCCAAGACAAGCGGAGCGGCAATCTGATTTGGTCAGTGGTAGAACGATGGCGCATGTTCCATTGGTGCCACAGCGCATGCAGTATGCACTGGAGGCAACGACGCGCGACAAATAGTGACGATCATCTGTATGGCGAAAACCAGCATTTTAGATGTCAGTGTTGTGGCACAGCCACCGAGCCCACCTCCAGGAGGTGGGCACACACGCTTTGTGATCCTGTTTACTTGTGACCCTGTGCAAACTGTCTTTTATCTCTGTCCAGGAAACGAAAAGAGAAGATAGCCCGCTTCACGGAGCAGAAGGCCATGGAAGAGCGGCAACAGCAGCTCAAGGATCTCATCAGCAATTCCTCTGCGGATGATGAGGCCGTGGTACGTGCGGCAGCCAATGATCACTGCCAGAAGTGGCATAAATTATTTAAACTTGCAATTCACCCTCTAGCCTTGGTTTAAAACCAGCAATAACAAAATTTGGGGGAAACGTGAAGCAACTTTTCTTGTGTGAAAATTTTATTGTTTGGATAGAGACAGTGCTGATAGGACATGCACTGAAAATCAAATGTTTACTGTATACTTTAACAATGTACGAGGCAATTGATATATATTAACGACCCCTTACATCATGTTTCCTCTAATATTCATTTGTTTGCTGACACTTGTGTTATATCTTAAAAAATTAACAACAGTGGTGATACTACTGCAGTGCAACATGTTCCATATGACGTACCTTATTAGTGTAACATGAGGACTGTAGCGCTAAACCTCAAAGGTGCAAAGCCCTTTGATTTTCTTCATAAACTACCACTACCTCACTGTTATATTATTTGCCACCAGACTCTAGGATCTGTTTATTCCCATTATCGTGCCGCTGGCACAACCTTAAAATTTGAGAGAACGCTACTTATGAGTGATATGCATAGTTGATGGTGCCAATCATTGCTAGGTTATGTTTGTGGCAGTTTTTTAGGAGCAAAGCTCCTCTTATTTATCCTTGTCATGCCGCACGCGTAACCGAGAGAAGAGACGAAAAAGAAAAGAAGGCAGTATTTCCCAAGCAGTATAATAGATGGCGCTTTCTCATAGAAGTACATACAAACTGAGTGAGGATACTCTAGATGGCGCTTTACCGCTACTTTCCGATCGGCTGCTACGCGGGCTGTGTTTGGGTACGCGGAAAACGACTGCCTCTCTTAGTCTCCTGGATAGTCGCCGTATGTGATGGATCGTTGGTGGGGCATGGACGAAGCAGAGTGGCAGGCCCGTTGAAGACGCTTCCGCTCGGTTTCCTTGGCTCGCGTCTCGTTGATGTTACTTGCACGCAGTCTTCATTCTTGAACACGATCGGATGCACGGACAAACGGAAACTGAGACGGATGGACGGACGGTCACTTCGCCCACTTATCATTATTCACTCCGTGGATATGCTGTAATTTTTTTTACTCCTTTCTCTTTCAAACTCATCGTCTACACAGCTTTTGTCAGAAGTTATACTTAATATGTAGTCTCTGTGTGAGGTCCACCCACTAGTAAACATATAAATGTGATTGAAGTTGTTCCGAACAGTGCTGCCAGGTTAACCATAAAACTGCAATACTATAAGATGGACTGGGACTTAGGTTGACCTTTCAGCTATGAACTACTTAAAACAGGGGAAAAGAAACGTGAAAATTTTGAGTAACAAAAGGCGTCTTTACGGTAAAGCAAATGCAATCTGAAATGTTGCACAGAAGAAATGCCATTTATCTCTTTGATTACCTTGGAAAAATTGGCCACATTTTGTTGCTTTTACTAATTATTTTTATTATGAATAATATTACACTTACACTGTAATATAATATGTCAATATAAGCTAATTGATTGTACTTTTCAGTGGTATTATACTTAAAAAAACTAGTATTAGGATATTCAGCCGATCTCCTCTATTAAAGACACTGTAGAAAATAAATGGGTATAAGAGACATCAGTGTACCTGTATTGAAATAGGGGTTGATTAGGAAATGCATATGTGGTGCTCTGCCTATGTGAGACACGTTATGTAAGAGACAAGAACTGCTCCCTAGAGCATGTGCCTTATAAAGGGGTTCGACTGTTAAATGCAAGAATATTTATGAAGTCAGTAGTATTTATTGAACATTGTAAAGAACATTTCTAGTGTGCTGCCAACATGAAAGAAAAAAAAATAATCTGAGTTATACTTGTTTGCTCAATAGCTTTTTATGCAAGAGGAGAGTTTGAGGGATCTAGCTCAAAAGGCATTTGAGTTACTGGTTTGATTTTGTCTGTAAAGTGAAAACTGCATTATGCCATCAGGTTACATTAGGTTAGAAGCTGTGCTGAAATGGCTTTTGTCAATCACATCGCTGAGTTTATTTTTAATGTAACACAAAAGATGAGGCACAATAATAATATCTTGGGCTATACATGCGAAAATTTTGACCCATCTGGGGTTCTTCTAACATGCACTAACATCCTGTGGCCAGGGGCAAGATGGCTGCACATATTCTACGTTTTTAATACGAGTCCATTTCTCTGCTCCGAGATGGTCTAAAGGCATGAAAATTGCAATTGTTGGTCCGAACAGCTACAAAACAGCCTCAAAAGCAAGAATTTTGAAGTAACGATGGGATTTTACCAAGAGCACCAGCTATACCAAGCAAACGAGACTTTGACATTTACAAGAAAGGCGCCCATGGTCGTGGCACAGTATAATCTCCTCCAGGGCTGTTGTAAATAAGCGTGACCTCCCCCCCCCCCCCTAGAAAATGGGCTACTATGCCCTGAGTGTGCTGCTTCTACTTGCTAGGCTGTGTGTTGTGGCTGTAGGCCAGTGTGCTCAGATTTGGGTGCACGTTAAAGAACCCCAGGTGGTCGAAATTTCCGAAGCTCTCCACTACAGCGTCTCTCATAATCATATGGTGGTTTTGGGACGTTAAACCCTACATATTATTCAAATCTATCAATGTGTGTTGTGGTGCTGTCACTTAGCGACAACTATTGGGGGGGGGCATGCGCAGAGGGTTTGACTGTCGGGTTGTTTGTTGCACATAGCGTGTACCTTCGGTCGCTGCTCTGTGTAGTCAATTAAGTGTGTTTGCCGTGGGAGAGTTGGTACTGCTTTACCTTATGCTGTTCATGGTGAGAAGGGTACATGTTGAGTAATTGCTGTGATAACTAGCTTCCTGCAACTAATGCATCTCTGCAACGCTCTGTCATTTTTGCTCAAGCAGCAGCAGAATGGTGTGAAGCATGTTGTTTTTTGTCGCCTCCTGATAAATGTAAGCAGTATGCTTACAGCGGTGCTACTCTTGCAGTAGCATACATGCACTTTTAACAAGATATTCAGTGCAGTGAGGTTTCTTGGGTTTCTTGGTGTCCTCTTTGCACTCTTGAAGGCGGTCCCACACAAGGTGGCCGTGAATGGCAGTGAAGCACGCTTTTGTTGTCGCCTGTTGAAAGTGTGCCGTCGACTTGCCACTACGCCAACTGTGCTGCCGGGCAGATAGCTGAATGCACTTATTGCAATGTTCTCCTGACAAAGATTACCACATAGCTACAGGAAGCTCTGGGGAAGTTTGAGAACCTGAATGAGTAGACATAGAAAAACAAACAAACAAACCAGTAATCTGCTAAATCATATCACTGATCTTGTCTGCCAAGTGGTGTAGTGGCTACTGTGCTTGGCTAACGACCCTAAGGTCGTGGGTTCGGTCCCGGTCACGGCAGTCACATTTCAGTGGAGGCGAAATGCTAGAAGACTGTGTGCTCTGCGATCATTGCACGCCAAAGAACACCACATTGTCGAAATCTCTAGAGCCCTACATTACGGGGTCCCTGGGAACCCCGTATCGTGGTTTTGAGGTGTTATACTCCAGGTATTATTATCACTGATGTTAAACAAGGACCCATTGCTTTGTTACTATCATTCTTGTGCAATCACATTTTCATTATTGAGAAGTGTGATGTGGTTTGGCCTTTTTCTTTTTTCAAATAGTTGGGAAGTAAACCTAGTTAGGAGAACCTTCTTCTTTAGTTCTTATGTCGTTGATTTTCTTGGGCTAGACATCTAGGTGACGTGGTATGTCAAGAGGTAGTGTAGTTGATACCTGGCTATAGATTGCTAAAAAAATATCTCTCTCCAAAGGCTGTTTCAGTGTAATGTGTATTCGGTTCTGAATAAAATAAATGCTTATCCCCCTCCATAGTTGCTTCAAATTTGTTTGTTGAAGCTCTGAAAATGGCGTATTGAATGTCGCCAACTGCTCTAAATGAAAGTTATGCTACAAAATAAAAATTTTATTGCTCCAATAACTGTTTTTAATTCAGTCACAGCTGTCTCACCCCTGCTCTAGCTATGCCATTTCATTTCTTGCTGCCATCTGCACTTTATGTTATGCGTGATCCTGCCGACATAAACAAGGAAGTAGGCACACATCATTTGCACAGTAGTCATAAACCTATACGAGAATTTTGGTTCATTGAAGTTAGTAATATTGAGGCTTAATTATTTTGCAACCGAAAGAAAGGAAGAAAACGTGCCTAAATTTCATTAAAAATGTTTCAGTCAGTTTGTTGAGCCTTTTTTTTCTATGTGAAGAATAGTACCATATTTACAATTTGATGGGGTTTGTTTATTTCACCTATCGCATGGAAAAAGGGGACTCGTAGGTGGCTTCGCTTTATAGTAATAGTACAAATAAAAGCAGCAATAAAATGAGCACAGAAGCAGAAATGTCTCAACATGAACAAGTATGGTCATCTAGCGTTGACAAATGCAAGTATGACGAGTATAGTCTTCACTGGTTTCGTGTGGAACCAGATTTAGTGGATGACACGGTGGCCATCAGTCATTGTGTTGGAAAATCTCGTAAAAGCTACATTTTTCATGTGATCTAACCTCTTCTTCAAATGATCCTAACTTCTGATATAGGCCCGGTTCATATTAATAATAATTGTTTAGGGGGTTTTACGTGAGAAAGGAAACATGAGTGTTGCCATTTGATTGAATTTCCTAAACTTGTGAGTTGACATTGTTGTTTTTTTGTCTCTTGTTTTTGTTTTACAGAGGGAGTACTACACCATTCTACTTAAATATTGGGTGAACAATGCAATCGAGGAACTTCACAGCATTGAAGGTTTGTTAAATCATAATTTGAATTGTCCAGAGGTCTTGGAATGTCTACGCTAGGGTCACTATCACATTGTGTGAGCTTGTGTGACTATATCACATTTTCACACAATCTGTGACTGGTACTTGTCGGTGTATTGTAAGATTTTGTTAATTGTAATCGTCAGGGAGCCCCAAACGACTTCTCTGCTTGCAATTTTTCCGTATTAGGGTGCAGCAGTTATGTGAGAAAACTGGTGAACAGTGGTGGTTTTGAATAAACCCATGTTTGCACAGGCAACTTCTGTTGCGCGTAATGGAGGTTTCGTTCAGTTGCCAAAATTTATGGTGACCATTCTCAGAGTATGGGCGTGCACACGTGCATGCAGCAATTACAAGTTTGTCTGGTCACTTTTTAGACAAGGCTTCCTTTGTGGTGAATTTGATATCTTTGTTTACTGAAACTTGTATGCTGTCCCCGTCGATTCAGATATGTTGGTCAGTATTAACATCTGTCATCTGTCACTGGCATCAAGTCGTTGGTGAAGTATGATTAGCTGGATGGCAGATTTTGTTCCTTGCTCAAGTCGGTGTGAGGAAAGGGTTAGGGTTGAGAGCAGAAAACATGTTTATCAACTCACAGTGATGTACAGAATAATACAAACATGACAGCAAGGACCAGAAAACTATGGCATGCAATTTGTGTCAATAGTAGTACTGAAAGAAATGTTAAGAGCAGTTAATAATGTGGATATGAAATTAGGACAGGATGCACACTGCTTCTGTCTAACATTGTGCACAGGTCAATTAATAATGGCTGACAAGCACAATGTCCAATGGGACACAGAGTTGGGAGTACAGTAGAATCTCGGTGATACAAATTCGAAGTGAGCACGCAAAATATTCGTATCATCCCGAATTCGTATGACCCAAAAACCAGTTAAAGCTGATCATGAAGAGGAACAAGAACATTATCGGGGTCAACTACTTCTTGCTCAAAAAAGTCCATGATGTTCTTTTGAGCTTTTCTGCCTTCACCTCCTCTTAAAAAAAGGCTGCGGCTTCCTCACTCATGCTGCTGGGGCTTAAAGCGCGTTCACACTTGGCATCAATGGGAGGGAAAGCGGCAAAATGTATTGGGAATTCACCCGCTTCACCGTTTAAGCGGCAGGAAAAACACGCCGCGAAGTCCACACGAAAAGAATCAGTCACTTGGGAGAATTCAAGCGAAAACACCAGAGTGGCCGTGGAACCACGTCCGCCCTTGCTAAAAATTGCTCACATTTGTTCTGCCTACCGCCGCCGCCTTCGCTGCTTGAGATTTCCTTCCACTTCACTCGTTTCCTGAGCATCGAAATTATACCGAGTTCTTGTTATGCATGCAAAGCAATGAAAAGAAACAGTTTACACCTGTACAAACGTTGTTTCGGGAAATACCCCAACAGAAATGACACAAGCGGATGCACCGGCAGCAGCGACAACAGATTCATCCGGCCGTACAAAAGCGAGGCACCTTAGGGCATGTCGACTCGCTGCTGCTGCACCTTCTTCTTCTTCCAGTGTCCGCAGTGATTGTAATCTAAACGCTTATGGCCTTGTCAGGGATGTGAGCTTTGTTGTGCTGTGTGGGTAGTTCGCGATTGTACCGACGCGAGCCAACGCCAACGCCTTTACTGCCATCTTGAATTTGACACTGGTTGTTTACATTATGTGGTTTCAGAGCTAGTGCAGCCGGTGTAGCCCAAGCCGTGAAGCAAATAAGCAATCTGCTATCACGTGGCGGATGGTCTGGGGCCGATTTTTTTCGCGCCAGCCTCACAGCATGGTTTACCAGCCACTTAGGCGGCGTAGCGAGAAAAATTTTCATGAGTTTTGCTATGTTCCCTCCCTTGGAGGCGCGGTGTGAGCGAGCCTTTCTCCCACAGACAAGCCGCGTTGCGCTGTTCACGTGGAGCGGTGAATCGTGCATTCATATCATTCATAGTGGCTGGGGTAACCGTTCGTATAACAATGAATTATGGAATATTTTATATAATTTAGTCCATCCGGAGGAACCTTAAAATTCGTATCATCGCAAAATTCACACCAACCGTAATCGTATCATCGAGATTTTTCTGCGTAGATAACCTACAGTAGCAAGTCCATACACTGTGAAGTTGCCAGCAATGCTCGGCCAAAAAACAGTGCTGAGTTTTTTTGAGGTGGATGTATTTGCTGTGGCGGTATTCATAAGAGTCTAGATCCAGTGTCTTCTCCTTAAGCAGATTAGCCGTACTTGAGATACTTGAGAGGAATTATCCTTGGTCACAGCCATATGTTTGTTCTCCTCTGTGAGCTGGCCAGTCAGAGTTCAAAGAAAATACGCCCAGGCAACACTGGATGGCCGTAATGATAGACTGTTCTTGGACCAACATTTAGATCCTACATTTGAGACTAGACTGCCTAGCAGAGCTGTGGTCTGGACGTAGGTTATTATTTCGGTAGTTCCTCGGAGGAGGGAACTGAAGGTTCAGGGGACAATCCAATTGCGCCATCTGAAGACATTGCACACATACATATGCACCACACAAAAACAAACACAGTTGTGATCGTAGCCAACTTCCGTTAAATTTATCGATGAACTCTTGTACAACAGCAGCAGTGACTGGACAATAACACATTCACCAATATTTCAGATACATCTCTCACATGCAACTCATGATATGCAGATACTAATTCACCAAAAAAATATAAGCAACAACCTTGTCTTTTGAATGAGGGTGGGTGTGTGAACACGGACACAGCAAAAGAAAATGAGATGACGCAAATGCTACTTTTTTTCCATTGTCTTCCTGTTTGGGTGCCCATGCTAATTTGTAATTAACACTGACTAACCGGGTCAACTTTCTGGCGTCGTAACCTTCATTCCGCCTTTACAAAGTAAGGATGCTCCTCAAATCTGACAAAATCTTCTCGGTGTCCATTTATGTTGAGGCGGCTTCTAGTGAACAAAATCTGATCATTCGTTTGGAATCTCTTTTCTCTGTTTTCATCACTCGGCAACATTTGCTAAATGGCACTTAATGAAATTAATACTTTCTTGGACCCCCCAGGCAACCAAGTGCCAGACAATGACTTTTTGTGGCCACTCTCTGCTCTTGCAACATTGCAGCAGTTCTTAACCAGCATGTCACTGAATTGAAAAATTCATTTTCGTGACAACTGTCAGTAGTATTGCACCTGTATGCCATAAGGGGAGATGCTACTCGAAAAATGATTTTCTTTAATAAGAGTCTGAATTTAACACAAACTGGCATGCTAATAGAGTTTTTTCTCCTCTTTTCAAATATGTCATTTATTTTCATGTAGATTGCTTGGTTTTCTTTCTGCAGGTCAGATACCGCAAAATTATGGCCATTGTTATGCAACAATTCTGGCCTATAAAAATTTGAGATAAAGCATGCAGATATAGCTGACTATGATCCTTTGGAACTGTAGAGTGCAAAAAACTATATAATACCCGTGACACACGGGCAAAAGTAAAGTACTTTGAAGTAAACCCCTTTTGTCGCCTAAGGGGACCATTTGCAGAAAGGAGTGGCGCTGATGACACACGGCACCGGACTACTGCTTTAGGCGGTGTCTCAGAAGAACGCTGCAGAAAAAATGGCGCTGTTTGTGGAAGCAGCAAGATTAAAAATATTAAATAGAATCTGCGCATGTACATCACATTCAGCGACGCCGGAGCATAAAACCGTTTTTTTTTATTGTCTGGTGGCCTATAATGCGCATAGCTGTAATTTTCTTTTGCTTTTTTGCGTTTTTAGCAGCAACTTAAGTTCGTCCGGCAAATATGAACAGTTGGTGTTTTGCTGTTTTCGTTTATTGTCGTGCTTTTTACATGGCTGCGTCCAGCTGGTTCAGTGACGGCGTGCCGCGTTTTATCGTGGTCCTGGGATGTCTTAGCGGAGAGACAGAGATAAAGCAACAGTTGAGGTCGGCCTGACTCTTGTCGCCCTCAACTCCATCGAAGATGAGCTAAACGCTGCGAAGGAAAGAGTGATGAGCCTCAAACAAAGACTCGTCATGAACAGCTTCATTTTGAGTGCTCCCGCACTGTTACCCCGAGCCATCAACCGCAAAAGTTGGGCCTATGTGCGCAACGAACGCTGGTTCAAAGACACATTACCGTTATTAGGCGACGGCCACTTTAAGCACTGTTTTCGACTGAGCCCAGCCGCCTTCCATTTCATTGCGGACAGCCTACGCCCTTCGCCAGAGAAGGTCACAACTAATATGCACGAGTGCATTGCTGCCAACCCTAACATGATCGCGCTAGTGACGTAATGCAGGCGTTTGAGAGTATGGACAGACTATAGGCGTTCACTTTTCAACAAATCGCACTGCTGCTGAAAATGAAAACGTTTTTTTCAGTGCAAAAAAATACTAACAGGGCACCACAGTGTTGCAACACGTTTTCTTCTATTGATAAATTGTGCACACTGTATGCGAGAGTACTCCCTTCCTGCCAGAAAAGTAGATGCGGGATCTGTTTTTGCGAAAAGGATCTTTGCCGGAAAGGAGTTACTTCTTTGTCGTGTGTCACTGCGTCCGAATGCCTTTCCGAAAGATGTCCCCTTGTCTAAAGGACTTCAGGGTTCCCGTGTGTCAGGGGCATAAATTTTGTGTGTAAAAAGGTGAAATACAATAATAAAATAGAAAAATTTACTATGGCTCTAGTTGCCAAGGGCTTTCAATGTTATGTAATTTTTGAAAAACATAATCAAGCAGCACTGACAATCTGAATAGATACTTGCACTCTATGGGCCTTCATCATGCTATGTGCATAATTTCATAGAGGTATGACAATTCTAAGTATACGAACTAGCGTGTATAAAAAGCACAGATCACACAAAACTGCAAAAGGAGAAAAACGCATTTGAAAGTTTGAAACCTTTTTTTTTTATCACAGAGTTGTTAGAAATGCATAATCTTTGGCCATAATGTTCAACAGAACTTTGAAAAGCACTGCAAGTTACTAGAACTGTC